TAGCTTTATTGAGGAAGGTATATAGAGAGACATGAAACCGTGTTAGGGAACTTCAGACCCAGAGTTTGTAAAGCAAGGGTTTGCAGGGGCAGTGAAAGTTTATGTATTCTGATACGAATCTAAAGGATTACATGGCACTTGAAGCGCTAAGAGTAGTTTTCAGATTTAATATTGTGAAACCTGGATACAACGTACATTATTTTGTTGATTATTTGTAACTTGAAGGAGTAGTTATCGGATGAGTGTGTTGATTTTTGTGAGCTGTCGGTACATTTTTGATTTCTTACCACCACCTAAAGATTAGGAGCAATGTCAAATTATGAAAAGCTTGTTGTGAGGAAAGGATCATATCTGTATCACATGTTTCAGAAAACCTGAAGTTGACCAAATGCGTATTTACATAAATTATATATTTCGTTGGCAGCTATATAACACTCTTTGTTGTACTGAACACAATTAATTCTTGAATGAACCATCATATTCCAACTGTAAACACGTTAAAACTTAAATGCTTCTGGGATAAATTGGCATTTCTTGGAATACAAAACAAAATAAAGAGGATTCAGTGTTTAGATGCTAGATCCAATTTTGTTAGTAAACTCTGAGATGTAATTATTCTTCGCAAAGGACAACTATGAATGATAAACGCCTGATTAGAAACTACCAAGCGATAACGACTCAACAAAACCACACCCTTTTTTATCGGAAAAAAGATATGTATGGAATTGCTGTGCTGTTGCTTTCGGTATGTTTCAACGAAGATGTAAATAATTAAGTGCAAATTGAACTATTTCTTAGAATGCTAGGCCGAAACATATTGACTTTTTCGTATTGTTACAAAGTATGGTAGTAATTGTCACGTCCAAGTTTTTGCTCGTTCCCTTTATTGAAGTACGGTATATCGATCTACTTTCAATTTACAAACCCAAATTAACAATAAAACCAAACTCCAATTTAGGTAATAAAGTTTATTCGCGATTTACAAATAGTCGACCCAGATGCCGTTCTAACAACAATACTTATAATAATTACAAAGTGAACCTTCAATTTTGTAGGTTCTCGGAGCAAAACCTCCCAAATACCATACCAAAGACAAAGGAAACCAAAATGTCTGAAAACAATGATGTAAACAAACAAGTTCAGAAGTTGAGTAAAATGAATACATTCAGAAACACAGTAAAATTATCAATATACAATATAAAGGTCTTAATCAACCAAATTGTTAGGATATTTGGAAAAATATACCAATAATTATCATGTTTAGTCTAATGGTGTCCTTGCACTTTAAATGGACATTCCCTATTGATCAATATTTATTTCACTTGTTAAATATTGCACTTTAAATGGACATTCCCTATTGATCAATATTTATTTCACTTGTTAAATATTGTACAAATGTTGTTTTCTATTTTATGGTACGATGTGATCTGTTTGGTTGGTATATGAACCTAGTTGCTTGGGATACATGATTCATATCACAGAGGCTGAGACTTGTGTTCTGGACTCAACTGGCTGGGCTAGACAGCGGAGCAGGCCCAATCGGGACTCTAGGTCGTTCGTACGTGTTTTTCGTATCATTGATCCGGTCAATAAATATGCTGCGCGTCTAATCTGCAGTCTACACACGTTACAACACAAATGTCTTCAGTTCTTCCGTAACAGTAATAGTAGTGAATGTAGTAGTTTCTAGGTTTGTTCAAAGACAAACTGTGGTGGCTACGAACATACAAGCATTCGACCATAAAAATGAGGCCGCAAACGTACGTGAAACTTTGTGTTTCTATTAAGGTTAACTGGGTAATATTGTATAAACTAATTATAACCTTGTACAGACATTATTATTATTATCCATTCTCCATCTGCGACTGGTTTGACTCAGAGTGTATCATACAGAATTATTTCATCCTAAAGAGACCCTATACTACTAAATCATCATCAGCCGAAGAGACTGGAATTAAACTGTAGTGACTCACTTTTATCACGAGAACACGACTGGTTTAATGAAAACAATCATTATTATAACCAACTGTACCGGTGCTTGTTTCAACGTGCTTTTGTTTAACTGTTCTAATTACAGCCATTTTGTGCTTCCATTACCTTCCATTATTGTTCCGCGGTTTTTGGCTTTGTTCGCAAGTACTCCACCTTCCTGCTTTCGCTTGTACCACTTCTTGGCACGATCTTGGTATTCGTTCGATACCACGAGATCGCCAACGAAATAAATCTGGTTACGTTCAACCTACGCCTTCTGATTTCTTTGGCACGTGTTTCTTGGTAGCGGTGTTCATTGTCAATTGGGACTCGACGCCATGCTACAAAACTGTCAAGACAAGTGTATATGAGAAATTGTAGTGAGAGCAATATTTAACTTAACATACTCCTGTTGTAGACTGTAGTTCAAATACAAGGCCAGATAACTACGGCACATTTATAAATTAAACTGTAGTTATTCGAGCATACATAAAGCAGAACATTTTCACACTAATTTCGACCCTAGTTCAGTTATTTGATTTCGTAGGATTGTGATAGGTATCTGACTACCGTAGTTTGTGAACTACAGTTAACGTATAGAAAATTTAATTTCGCATTTAATATCTAGATTCATCCTGTTGGATAGCGTAATATAAGAAGCTTGGTAGACTATGCTTTTGAGAACGCTTCACGGAAGCAGCTTAAAAGACAAACCATATGTGCGAAAACATGGACGTAGAGTAAATTTAATATTAAGCAAATTGAAGTAAGGATTTATATATGGTTTAAAAAAGTCAACATGATAAGCAAATGAACAGAAACACACAACGAAGAATGTATATAATGTACTCATGTAACAGTGTATAACTACGACTAAGAGAATTAGTGCAAAGTTGTTAGCAGTAATGACAATAAAATGCATTTGGGAATGTTCGTGGACATAAGTTTGCAAGATTGTTGATCGCAATTGAAGGATTAATTCCCTTTTCTGGATTTTAAACTCTGATTGAATAGCAGTAAATTCGTGCAGGTCTGCTCTCTGTATTCCTACTCAAAAGGTTCATAAAAGTTCCCTGCCTCATAAAAGTCCACTGTTTAAAAATAAGGACAACAGGTCGGTTGACCTATGATCGTGCCTGGTGTGTCGATCCTTTGTAAGAGTTTCTTCTTTCTCTTACTCTTGTTACTCCTAATGGAGCATAGGCCGCAGACCAGCGTTCTCAAACCCACTCTGTACTGGGCCTTCTTTTCTAGTTCCATCCAATTCTTGTTCATTTTTCTCATGTCTGTTTCCACTTCCCGGCGCAATGTGTTCTTTGGTCATCCTCTTTTCCTTTGGCCTTGAGAATTCCATGTGATGGCTTGTCTTGTGGCGCAGTTGGGTGCTTTCCTTCTTTCCCTTAACAATAGATAACTGACACACAACCTGAACCTACGAATATTGTGTCATCAAGATGTTGAGTACATTACGTCTGTAGACTAAACGTGATATAAAAGCATCTCTATAACCTATTGAAGTGCATCCTAGATTGCTAAAGAAGATAGCAAACTTTACAGCGAATCTCTTAAGCATGTTTTTAAGTTTTTTGTAACCTAAGGCAAATTACCGAAGAACTGGAAAAATCCCATGGTAAGTTCTCTCTTCAAAACAGTTACGGGATACAAACCTGAGAACTATCGACCTGCAAGTCTAGCCAGAGTGATTGCCAAGGCCGTGGGAAAGGTTATTCGGGGGTTATTTAAACATCTAGATGAATATATGGTCCTTTTTTGAACCCAGAATTGTTTTCAAACAGGTTATTCAAGTTCCACAAACTTATTGGTAGCTCTTGACAGTTTGTATGGTCTAAAACATCAAAATCTGACTTTAGGTATAGCCTTCATCAACTCAAGTAAGATTTTTGATAAAGTTCCACACGACAGACTGCTATCTAAGTTAAGTGATACGGGGATCAAAGGTTACTAACCCATGTCGAAAAAAATTTCTTAGTTGAGTGTAGGCAGAGAGTACAAGTCAACCTGAAGTTGTCCAGCTGAGAAACTGTGATTAGCAAAGCACCCCACTGCACATGCTGTTTTCCGATGACCTTCCTAGTCTTCCGTCATCACAAGTTTTTGCATGCTAGCAATATAAATTAATGGAGAGCGATCTAAATTGGAGACGGTAGTTTGCAGCCTAAAAATGACCTGTAGAAATTTTCTGAATGGTCTAGTTCCACGGTCGCCAATAAATGCCCCCAAATGCATTATGATGTATATTAGTCATCAGGGTACACATGCACACACGGTTCAGACAAACAATTACCTAGGAGTTATCATCAGCAAAGTCTTAAAAACTACTTTACAACGCCGTGCAACAGCCGCCGAAGATTCTAGAACCTCATGGTGAGTAAGTAGACCCTTTAGCTATGTCATCGCTAAACCTTTTTGACTTTGTATACGATGTTTTTTCGTCATAAACCTGGGTATTGTATACAAGCACCCAACCTCTGTCTAAAATAAGCAGTCAGCTGCTGAGAACTCAAAGAAACGAAACTAAATGTATTCCCAGATTCTCAAGGCTGCTGTACGATAAGAAGCTGGCCAAACTGAACCTATTTCTCATATTATGTGGAAGAAACAGAGGCGACGTGATCATTCTAAAACGTTCATGAGGCCAGAATTAAATTACTTGTTAACTGACTATCAACTTTTCCATCGGATCATTAACGAATAGAACTTGTGACTTCAACAAGTTATTGAAGCTCCATCTGTCGACATATTCAAAGAAAATTAGATCAACCAAGAGAATACAATTATCAGAACTAAAATAATCCATTGAGTCCCCTGTTCATTCCAAACCGAAACTGAAACCGTTTCCATAAACGCAACGGAAATCCTGACCCGTAGTCAGTTGATTTATATAATAATAGTTAGAATTAAGCTGAGAAGTCAGGTTTTCTAGAAGATTCTTGTTTGCAGTTTGTCTGTTGCCGTAATGCAGCAAAAGGTTTTATCCTTCATTTGTTTCAATGCTTTCTGTTTACAGACTGCACCGGGATCAAGGTTACCCTGGGCGTGACTTGTTGGACGTGATTTAGCTAGTTTTGCCGTGCGTTTGTCTATTAGACTGGAATTATTAGCTTATAGAATATTCCAAGATGGATGTTGATAAAGTGCGCATGGAGAAGTTGGAGAAGCTAAAGGGGATGAGTGACCAGGTGCGCATCGGTGGCAAAGGTACAGCTCGACGGAAGAAAAAAGTAGTTCATAAGAATGCTGCCGCCGATGATAAAAAACTTCAAAGTTCACTAAAGAAACTAAACCTCAATACTATCCCAACCATAGAGGAGGTATCATACTATTAATGTTTATTCAATTCTAGGTTAACATGTATAAACCAGATGGGACTATGATTCACTTCAAGAATCCAAAAGTTCAAGCAGCTCCACAAGCTAATGTATTCGCAGTTTCTGGACAAGCTGAATACAAAAGTATTTTTGTGTTTTCCTTATGTATTCTTCAGCACTAAATGATTTGTTCCCAAATATGCTTAATCAATGGGAGACAGCAAAATTACGATTGGCAAAAATGAATGGTTAGTAAAAAAGTTTTGTGTGTCAAAATATTTGGTTCAACTATGCAGTGGTTCTGTCTTATTTAGGAGCTCAGAATAACTTTACTTTTAATGATAGGTAGTCAACGTCGGTCATCCAATAGCGTAAACCATTTAAGGCAATAGTCAAGACTTGTAGGTGTTTTTGTGCAGGCGATTACTTATTATTATTATTATTCAAAATATACATACGACACCGGGGACCGGTCACTCCTCAAGCCTTTGACTTAGTAATCTAAACCACAAGACAATGAAGCAACGTTAAAAAGTGCGAATCCATGGCACCCTGTGACCAACATTAGGTTCATATCTGATTCATCCCCTTTAGAAACTCGGACGTACATAGACTATTAGTGTAGAATCATAGTTTTTCAACTCTTGAATAGATGTTCCATAACCATCAACCCGGTTTAAGCACCATAATCGATTTCGTAAACAACTTCGCGGTGAAAAGGCGATAGTGAAGTATTCTCTGGCAGTGGTTATATACGCGTGGTCATTCGAGAGCATTTCGAGTGGGAAAGCGAACTCCACCCTCGACCGTACCAGAGGTCTTCAGAGGGTCATTATGATCAATCTTGCTATTGCCAAATATAGTTAAAATGGGCGCAAAAGGATAAACAAATTAGCTCAGACTATCTGCTATCAATACCACAAAAAGCATGATAAACAATCAAGTAGCACTTAGGCGGAATTAGTCTAAGTGCTCTCTGTTTGGCGGTCGTATACCGAAGATAGTCTGTAAAAGCATCAGCAAACGAGTCCATTGCATTTTACCGTTAATAAAAATGCATCGTTACTGCTTGTAGCAGTTATTAAGCCGTACTTAGTGTTTTATATATGCCGAATCAAAGTATTCTTATGCTTCGCTCAATCGAATATAGTGGCCGAAACGTATTGCTATTGATTTTCCCGTTTTGAACCCAAATTGATTTTACAGTTAGCAATTTACTACTCATTTTCCGCCTGACACATGATCCTAAAATGGTTTTGTTAAACTGCAATGTCAAGTCATGTCAGAAAGTTCTGCTTATGCACTTGCTGACAGTCATGCTATAGATTCCGGTTAATTTTTGTCCATAACCTGACGAAAGGCTTAAATCTGAGTATTTATGGCTTTTGAATAAGTCATTTTCATGTTAACACGCAGCAGAATTTTGTCTCGTTTATTTGATTTTTACAATTATGTCTATGTACCCGCTTTCTCTGTGTTGATGTAAAGTTGATATTAAATTCATATTATTGTGATTCAACGTATGGTTAGTTAATTTCCGATATCCTTGAAATGTTCTACAATGTTTCGTAATCTATCCTTAATTACACTGTCAACTTATTTTTAATGAGAATGTTTCATCTCCGTATAGTAGAAGTGGCTTGTTTGTCTGTAGTTTTTATCTACTTGTATTCCTTCATTGTTATGAACAGTAAATAACTGGAATAAATATTAAAGGTTTGCTCTAAAGAAGCTGATAAAACTGCTGATAACAGCTGTTTATATTAACGTATGAGGGCCTCTATATGATAAAAATAGACCGAGTTGGATATTCTACCATAATGAATTTATCCGAAAGCTCATAATGTCACATAAGTGTTCACGTTCGTATATCAGTGTCCAGTTCTAGTTACTTCTTATGTAGAGTGATGTGGACATTTATTTTGACAGACAAAGATTAACGTATTGTGTATTATAAATGTAATAAAATTGCTTAATTAGGTTTTCTTATAAGTGTTTATACTGTTATTATTAACCTATATTTGGACTGAAAAAAGAAAGGTTGCTTCGTCTCGCTCCTTAGTATAGAGCTTCATTATGATATACCATTCTATTAATAATTGTTCCATTGAATATTAGCGGCTGTTAATGATTTCTGTATTTCTCAATATTAACTTTGTAGAAAACTCAAAAACATCAGATTCAAAGGCAGATGATGGAGACGATGATGTACCAGAGCTTGTGGAAGATTTTGATGAGAAAAGTCGTTTGGAATAGTTTAATAATTAACAAATGTACATCGAGTGAATGTGTATGACTCAGTCATTACTTTGCAGTGAAAGTCACTCAGTACACCAATTGTAATGTACAATGTTTGTTTTTAATTACTTCTCACAGCTTTTTTCTCCGGTTCCATTTACTAGTTGTGCATTGTCAATCTGTCCTGGTAATATTCATTTTGTTTGACAAAATGTCTTATAAATGAAATAAACAATTCAATTATGTATCGACTAGAATCAAGTTGTATAGCAAACTGTACTAACATTCAAGTAAATGGGATTTTGAATACATTTAGTCTTGTCGATCATTTTAAACGGATATTTAGTGTGGATCTTTCTCAATACCGTACATTTAAAGGAAAGAAAATGTTTATAATATTACTGTAAAATCCTATAACTGTAGGGTTTAGTGTATAGAGAAAGCCAATTATTTTTTTAATAGGGTATAGAATTTCGTCTATATTGACTTATGCTCGTTTGACTAATGAACAGTTCTATCTGATAATGTCCTATATATATACCGGTGAGGTGCTTACAACTGCCGTCACTTAATAGGATGCTTCTGACAAATCTTAGTTCCTACAACTCCCAGGCAAGTTATAATCGTGGCAGTGATCAATTGTAAAATGAATCCCCTGCGTGAACGACGAAGCTTGTCTGTGTAGAGATTGACACAGTCATCGTGAATAGTCATCACACTATAGGACATATCGATTGAAGTTAGAAATATAGACTTTAATTTTCATCTCAATTATCCAAAGACACTGTGGTCTCTGAGGTAACTACGATTACTGGGTGGGATCCCTACCAGTTGTGTCCGTACTGCTGCAGTTTTCTATAGTACGTTAAAAGGTCTTCCTATGCTTATTGGTTCTAAATGTTTGACATCACTATGACGAGTACAGTCTGCATATTTTTTAATTCGCTTAACTACAATATCCGTAATACGACAAATCACTTCATATGATCTTTTACAAACTAATAGTGTCATCAGTCTACTCAAATTAAAGAGACAAAAGTGTAAAGCGAGTAAGCGGTTGCAAACCTATTTCAACCTGGAATAAACATTACCTAAAAGGATCCGTTGGCTGATATTAAACAAAAAGATTTTAGGGAAATGAATAGTACTGCACAATTTCAATCTATTTGATTGAAAGTCAACGGACAAAGCTCACTTTTATTCTATGTGTATTTACAGTTTGAGTTCTTTCTAAATATAGTATTTGTGAACCTCATGTCTCCCAACACACGTCATTTGGTTCATCGCCAAGCCGTGCAGTTATATATCCGGAAATATTTGGTTGGTCATTGTGTTTAACTGCCTGATACTGTCTGGTAATTACTGAGTTATCCACTTTCTGTCGGTGTTAATGGTAAGCTATGAAGTCACATGTTTAACATTATAGTAAGTTCTAAGTTTTCAGATTTTCTGAAAAAATTATTGCTTATAGTCCGTCTGATGAACATGTGAACCAACTGACTACTTAGGCTTGTTATCCCCCCGTGGAGGAGCGTAGGTCGTCAGCTACCATTCTCCATCAGATTCTGTCCTAAGCGATCCTTTCCAGTCACTATTGATTCTTTTGATGTCTGCTTCTAATTCCCGGAGCAGTGTGTTCTTTGGTCCTCCTATATTTGTTTTCCATCAGAATTCCAAGTTATCAATTGTATTGTGGTGCAGTTTGGTTATCACTGTATTGTATGTCTTATCCACCTCCAGTGTCTTTTCCTAATTTCCTCCTCAGCTGGAAGCTGATTTTTTCTCTTCCACAGTATGTTCGTATTGAAGATTGTGACTTCGATGTTGGCTTGCAGACAGTTGTTTTGAGTTTCATATGTTCTGCAACTGTAGGAATGCGGCCCTTGCTTTGCTAATCCATGTTGTTACGTTTGCACCAGACCCTCTTCGTTCGTCAATGATACTGTCCATATATGTGAGAGTTTCCACCTGTTCCCGAGTTTCTCCATCGAGTGTGATAGGGTTGATATTCTCTGATTGTATCTGAGGATCTTGGTTTTCCCTTGTAGTATGATGAGGCCTATGGACTGAGTGAATAAGGTCGTCAATAATAGATATTACTATTTTGTCGCTATAACGCATTGAAAAGTAGCTATGTTCAAACTTTTCAATGAGAACCACAAGATTGCAATGCTCAGGACGACCATTAATGTTCGTGAAGACACTGAACATATTCGGTTTGGTTTTTTCAATAATTGATTCTTGTGATTTGAAATTATGATATAGAACACTCTGTCACTATGGCAACTATATCATCGTGATGATTGGGCACTTTAAAACAATCGTCTCAATAAATAATTTTACAAAAGTTTATGCTACTATTGCCTCAACAGTTATCGATAAAATCACTAATAATCTATGCATGATATGGTTGAATGATATAGAAATTTTATAAATCATGGACTAGATAAGTTCTACAAAATGAATTTAGTTAGCATTCTTTTTAAGATATAATAGTGATAATGACTATAAGCAAAGCTGGATGATGGCTAGCAGTAGAATCTAGGACGCTGGTTTCGTCCTATTTAAGACTCATCAACTGAATGTACCTACATCCCGGAGTTGATGTTCATTCCGGGACTCGAACCCTCTATTTTATCTTGTGTCATGATTATTGTTTTTTATTAAGATTACAAAGCGATCTAAGTTACACATCCATTGAAAACCTGGATAGCTGTTTCTTCTTAGTATGGTACTGTTCATCAGTGAGCATTCAGAATCCCATCACCGGGGATTGAACCATGGATCTTCGGTGTCGTGCTGTATCGAGTGTGAGGAAGGTACAAAAGTCAGTTAAAGGTGGTTACTTAGTATCACAGATTGGTTGAAGTTAGACATGTACATCACTGGGTGCTCGTCCAGTGGCCTAGGGGTCGGGTGTTTGCGGAGATGACCGAAGGTCTTTGGTTCAATAACCTGTGGCAGGCCCATGGATGTTCACTACCAAGGAGTTGAATTCTAAGACGAAATAGCTGTTTAAAGCTTCCAGGGTTTTAGTGTGATGGTTGAGCCAAAACCATTCGGTGATTTGAAAATCATAATGATCATGTATACATTAATAAATTTCATCAAACCCTTTTTATAAATACCTTAGAATACTGACTATAGTAAAGGGTTATGTCCAATAAATAAGCAAACTGAGCTATAATAAATTTCTAAGGTGACGTGCTTAACGAAATTCCTCAGGAAGTTCGTGTAATGTTAGTAGTTTTTTTTGGTGAAGCTTTAATTTTGTGGACGACTTTTGAGTAACTCTAGAGTGATCTTCAGAATGCCCACCTAATCAACTATGACCAAATGAAGGTTATAAACTAGTGTATGAAGAATTAGAATTGTGATTTATAGTTGATGGTTAAGGTTAGAAATTAGATTTAGGGTTTTCATTACGAATTGACATCAACTATAATGCCAAAACTCTATTTAGCCAAATAGATTATTATTATTTATTTGAACACATGAATATTGGTACAAGAGAGCGCCAATATATATGCGCCACACAAAACAATGAAAATTCGAAGAGAAGTACAAAAAAAACTAAGGAGCGCAAAAGAAAGAGAGAACAATAACGAAGAGATTGGTGTAAAGGTAGTGTGGTAGTAACGAGGGAACGAAAAGGTACAATCGGAAGAAATCTTTCAGGTAAGGGAGACACTACCACTTTTTATGAAGAAAGTAAAAGGTTACAGCAGGATCGCCACTGGCTTCTATTCTGAGCCATATCTGATAACGTCTCTAGCCACTGTGTAGCACCATCTCTCAGACCCCAACCAGGGAGTCGTGAAGGACCGACTGAAGCCAGCCTTTTGCAGCTTTCTTTCATACCACGACACCATGTCATACACTGACCACCTCTCCGCTTCTTCCAACCAGTCCCAGAGTCGGCAAATAATGCACGACGTGGAATTCTCTGGGACGACATTCGGAGAACATGTTCAAGCCACCGAAGTCGGTGTTTCAAGATGGTGACACCAATTGCATTATCATCTCTGTGCCCGAACACACGATGCCGAACCTCTGCATTACTAACATGGTGTTGCCACTGGATGTCAGCAATACTTCGGAGACAACGGTGATCGAACACAGAGAGTCGTCTAACGTCCTCAACTCGGAGAGGTCAGGTTTCACAAGCATAGAGCAGAACTGCTCTCACCGACGCGTTGTAGATCCGACCTTTTACAGCCAGACTAACATCACGAAGGCGCCAAAGGTGGCCCAGATTGGCATAAGCCGCTCTGGCTTTCACTATACGTGCATTGATCTCATCACTCACACCCCCCACCCCCAAATAGATGAATGAATTTCACGCTGAAATCTAAGACCTATTATCTTATACCTGACTGAACTTACTTACTTACGTCTGTTGCTCCTTGTGAAGAAGAATAAACCGCTCACCAGCATTTATACCTGATTGGTTCGTTCATAAATTATAGTCTCGCCGAAAGGGGATAAATAGAGTTTTTTATTTATTAAGAGGATAACCTTGACATAATTGTCCGTTCGATCTCATTTCAAGTATCTACTTCAGAGAGTAGTTCAATAGCCATGTTATGTAATAAATCTTTAAAAAAAGTGGATTCAGAGTTTAATCGATCACAATTTGTTACCATATTACTAATCAGTATATTACATTCATTCATTATTATCCGTTAATTGGGTTTTTGTTAGTTAATGCTCAACTATTGTAACTTACTTATTAAATACAGGTTTTATGAACTCTTGAATTGATTTAAATTTGTAATGTAAATGATTAGATACTAGTTTAGAGTTATAGTTTTCAGTTTGATTCAGATACTATACAGGTTTCACAACTGATTGATCACTGGGTGGCGATCAATGTCATGAGTGTCTAGTCCTTGTTAGTGCAGATCGAATGCTATCGAACATGTTGCAATGTGGCCACCAGTCTAGGTGACTGGACACTACGGGCACTATATATTGAGATTAGATGGTGGTTGGAGGTAGTCGACAGGAAACCCCTCGATAGCATTCGATCTGCACTAATAAGGACTAGACACGCATGACATTGATCGCCACCCAGTGATCATTCAATTGTGATTACATCTCAGTCCTACAGAAGGTCGGTCGCGCCTTGGATAGCTCAGTGGTAACGTCTCTGACTGTGAAGCTGGGTGACACGAGATCGAATCCGCCAGGGAGCACCAGTCCCCTCAATATTACAGGTACACCTTGCTGACGAGTGCCAAGTAGCACGAAACCCGGGTCCAGGGTTTCCTGTCGACTACCTCCAACCACCGTCTAATCTAACTATA